TGGAATAGCCAAAACAATTTTGGAAAAAGAGGAATAAAATTAGACTACTACTACCTGATTTCAAGACACTTACAGTTATCAATAATCCAGGATAATATCTCTATCTCAAAATTCTTAATTTAGTCTCATCTTTTGCCATATAAGATAATATTCTCCCTTTTGCCATTTCCGGTAATATTTATATGTTCCAGGAACTAGGATGTGGATATCTTTGGGGGCTGTTATTCATCTAACCACAGATCCCATATGGGTGCCCAATTGTTTGAGCTATTTAAAGTGTATAGTCCCTCTTTCCTTAATGATATCCAATGCCTGCTCTGTCATAAATCACATTTACATATATGTGTGCATTTATTCTGAGTTCTATATTCTTTTTCCTTAGTCATTTTTGCACTCTCCCCAACACTAAATTATCTTTATTATAGTAGCTTTATAATAGCTTTTAATATATGAAAGGCCAAACCCCTCAATTTATTCTTCTTTAAGAATCTCTTGATTGTTATTGGCCCTTTGTTTTACATTTAAATTTTATGATCAACCACCAAATTTCACCAAATTTTACCTGCTAGCATTTTGTCTATTAAAGCATTAAAATTATAGATCAGTTGGAGGAAAATTGACAAGTTTATGATGTTGAGTCTTCCTTATCAAGGACATAGCCTAGTTCTCCACTTACCTAGGTCTTTGTTAGTATCTTTCAATAAAGTTTTACATTTTTTATCGAAGGTCTTAAGTATATTTTATTAGATTTATTTCTAGGTACTTTATTTTTGTTTCTGTTACAGATGGTATCTTGAGAATTCATTTTTCTGATTGTTGCTGGGTATAGAAATGTAGCTGACTTTTGCATATTGATTGACTTGATAACCATCCATTTTACTCTATCTTACTTATTCTAAAAGATTATTTCTAGATTCTTTAGGATATTCCAGGTAGATAGTCCTAAAATATGTGATAATGGCAGTTTGTTCTTCCCATTTATAACCCACCTTTCTTTTCTTGTCTTATTGCACAGGAATAGAACTCAAGTACATCTAAGATTGGACATCTAAGATATTTTAGATGGCAAGTGTTTGAAAGCTCATGGTTACATTTTTCTGGTATTTAATGCAGTGCAATCTACTGCATTCAGGGATTTCAGGGCTGTTCAAATTTTTCTACTTCTGTGTGAAAACAAGGTGTTAATGTAATCAGAGGTGAGAAACTGCCCTATTTTTAAAAAACATTTAAATAGTTTGCTCTTCTAATAAGGAATCTGTCCTTTTAGCTTACTAGTCCCTTAGGCTTGTTCCTAAAATTTAGGCTAACTCTTGTAAATGCAAGGCTGGGTATTTCTTGTACTCTTATTCCATCCTGGGTGAGGGAAGGGGCTAGATACAAAGAAGACAGAGTCCTTTGAAGTAATTAATAACTCCCAAAGAAACATCAGCTCACTGCTTTATTACAACACATCTCCTTTTCTAAAATTTATTTATTTAGGAAGGCAGTCAAGGTAACAGATGGGGAAAGCTTTAAGCCTGACAGTTATAAATAGTCTTGCAGTTTGTTCCACAATATATTGCAGTTCCCTTTCTTTGACATTCCAGAAGTTGGATCTCTGTCAAAATACTTTGTTCTTGACCAAGGAGAACAAATCATCACCAATAGATTTAAACACCAAAATAATGGAGTAGGGTGGCAAGATTTGGGCTCTCTGAAAATTTTACTTATGTCCTAGAGCACTGCAAACACTAATACCTTATCTTTAGAGAAATCTTTTTTCCAGGATTCAGATGGACTGGGGAACCCTTTGAAGAAATCAGCTGTTCCAAATGTTGCTAGGATTGCTTTTGTATCTTAGAATCAAAATGATACTTGCCTAATGACCCCTGTGTTTCCATAAACTAGAGGGGCACAGAATAGGTAGTCCTGTCTTTAAAAAGACAGTCATGGAGCAAAGGCAGTTAAGATACAGAAGCTAAATAGCCCCAGAAGGCAGCAGAACATAAAATGTCACAAAGTATTATAATAATGATAATAAATTAGGAATATCATTTGGTTGTTCAAAGTGTATTTGCTGTAACACTGAAAAATACATCGAAAAGAGCATCAAAAGTATTTTGCAGGTTCAGAATATCACACACAAAGCAGACACATAATTTTTTTCTTCAATAACTGAAATTCAAGTGATGCAAATTTAAGGAAAACCTGTCAAATTATCAAAGATTTTTAAAAGTGGTGATGTATCTACTGCCAAGGAGGACGTGGAGAGACAGGAGCCGCACAATACCGTTGCTGTTTGTGTGTAAATGGCTGCGATCGTCCTGGAGGGCAGTATGCCCATAGCTGTCAGAACATCAGATGTGCCTCTCTCTGTCCTGGCAGCTCTCTTCCCAGTAATGGTGGGTTCGGTAATTCGTATCAACTCTCTCAGAACAGATAGAAGAGCAAGGGGAAGTATTTTTTAAAACCTGTTTTGAAGATGAAACAGATCTACTAGAAGAGTGAAGAATTGTGGGTCCAACATCCAGGTGAAGAAAGAACCAAGACCATTAAACTATGGGTGGAAGGACTCTTTATTCTTAGCAATACTGACTTTTGGGCTGATACTGCAGAGAGGCTGAAAAGTTAAGCTGCATTAGGGAAGAAAACACAGGCGTTAATTGGATGCCCAAGGAGAACCGGCCCCAGTAGTCCCCCAGGCTGGAGGACGGGACCCAGTGAAGCAGTGCCTGGAAAAGGACCAGTCCTCACAATGACTCAGTTTTGAATTGGTTTTCAGATGTCAACTTGATTAAGGCAGTTCTGCACTGGGGTTCCAAGAGATAATTAATCACTAATGTCGTAAGGCATCTATTGTGTATGAGGAATTAACTTCTCTTTTATATCTAGGATAGTACTAGCTACATTCCCTTCTTGGGAGAATAGAGAAAATAGCCACTCAAAATATTTGCCACATGGCTTACTTCTCTCACAGACTAAACTACAAATGATTAGATTAGGTCATCTGGGATTGCTGATGCTCCCTAGTCACTGGCCAGAAGCTGGAGAAAGATATCATTTTAGGGCTTAATTATCGCTTCAGTTTTTTATATACACTGATCAGACTCAATCAAAACAACCGTGCATGTGAGGAGGTAATAACTGGGTGGAATGTTAGATAAACAATAGAAACAAACCTGTAGGGAGCCAGATACTAGAATTATCAGGTACAGATTTTAAAAATAGTCTTAGTAGAGACAAGATGAGCAGAGACCTGGAAACTATAGAATATCTAAAGGAAAGTCTAGAACTGGAAAGTTACAATGACAAATTAAGAACTCAGTAGAAGGATTTAGTAGTCTATTCGATGCAGCCAGAGATAGATTTTATAAACTGGAAATTAAATAAATCAAAAGAAAATATTCACACCAAAATATGTAGAGACAAAATACAGAAAAGAGCCTAAGAGGCAAGTGGAATGTGGCAGAAAGGTCATATATATTTCCATTATATATTCTATTATAAATATATAAATATTATGTTTACATGCATATGAGGAAATAAATGAAAAAATGGAGCATAAGCAATATTTGAAGAGATAATGACTAAAAAATTTCCAAACACTAATGAAAGGCATTCATCCACAGATTCCAGAAGTGTCACAAATTCCAAGAAGGATAAATACAAACTACACCTGGGAATACTATTTAGTAGTAGGGCTGCTGAAAACCAAAGACAAAAAGAAAATCTTAAAGCAGTAAGAAGAAAAGACACACTAACTCAAATGAGTAGTAAGACGATAAGCCGAGTTCTCAGCAGAAATGGTGGAAGACAAGACACAACAGGATGATATATTCAAAGTGTTTAAAGAGATCAGAGGAAAATTGGCCATACGTATGTTCGAGGGTATTGATTAAATTATAACTTGTTACAGTGGAACGTTGGAAGCCACAGAAGAGACTGGCTACGGATATTCACCTCCCCCTTATGTGTGATGTGTTAGAATGTCCCAGAGTTATTGTAAATGAAAAGGCAGGTTATAAAGTAATATACAGCATATGCTCTCATTTACATTAACAGTATTTAAGTGTGATTAAGTATGGAAGGATCAGCTCCAAAATGCTAACAATAGTTATATTTGGGTGGTGGAATTATGAGAGAATTTCTACTTTATAATATTTTTATAATGATTATGTATTATCAAGTGGAGATTTTCCCATTTTTTAAAAAAGAAAACAAAACCAATCAGTACTTTATAAAAAAAAAAGTTAAAAAAAACAACCAGTCAGTACTTTAAAGAAGGGGTGTCCAAACTTTTGGCGTCTCTGGGTCACACTGAAAGAAGAAGAGTTGTCTTGGGCTGCACATTAAGTACATTGTAACATGTAATCACAAAAAAATCTCATAATGTTTTCAGTAAATTTGGAATATTGCGTTGGTCCACATTCACCACCATCCTGAGCGGCATGCAGCCCGCGGCCGCAGGTTGGACACCCCTGCGAGGCTTGCTGTCTGTATGGACCCTGGGTCCACTGTGGGCGTGTGACAAGGGCACTGCTTAGTGGGTTCCATTAGGTCTACAGGAAAGGAACTGCAAAGTAAGAAAAGACTCCCAGACTCAGTTTCCTTAGTGCCTTGGCTGTTCCTAAATCTGTGTGAGCAGCGTCCCTTGGAGCTGTGTGGTGACCCCTTTTTTGGGGAGCATCAGTCAGTGGTCGCTGTTCTCTGATTTAGAGAAATTCCTTTATAAGAAACTGAAGGGTACAGTTAAGATTGACTTAAATTTTTTAAATTGTTTCTTCCTGCTAAAATGTCAGCCTAAATTACAATATTAGCTGTTCCCTAAAGATTAAAAAAACTACCAATATTCCTGTTTCTTAATACTAAACTAAATCTTCAGCCTTGGCTGAACTGCAGTTCCTCCAGTTCAGTGCAGGAAGCAGGTGCAATAACCCAGAGTCCTTCACTGGCAACAAGTTGTGGACTATTTGGAGTAATAAAGAATCACTCGGGTAATAAAGTTTGAATTGTTTTTACAGGCCGAGAGATCCGTCTGCCCCTTCGAATCAAAGGGGAAGGAATGGGACCGAAGATTCACTTCAACTTTGAATTGCTGGATATTGGAAAAGTTTTTGTTGGATCTGTGCATTGTTATGAGGTAAACGCTAGAATTGTTCACTGAGGGTCCAGCAGCGTGTAGCTGCTTTATTTCGTGTGTGTTTTTATTGATGGAAAATATGTGCGGTCACCTGCATTTGCCACCATCCACGCTGTATTCAGGCCCCAGCGCGATCCGCCTCTTTCTGCCCTCTCCCGGCCTTGTCGAGTGGGGCGGCTCCTCCCCTCTCTTCAGCCCCTCTCGCTTCACTGAAAACAGCAAAGCCGTAACTTCGTTGGTTTTATCCTCATCATTTTGTGGATTATAAAGAGGAACTCCATAAATACATCTTCCCATCTGTTTAATGCTTGTTCTCCGACAACATAAATCCTGCAGATCAGAGGATAGAGAACCTACATTTTCCAGAATGTCCTAAAGAGGATAGCTTTTTTCACACCTCAGAATTTTCTCTGAGTGCACTAGTCTCCAACCCATGATTTAAAAACCAATCATTGTGGTTTCTGTCCAATTAAATAGAAAATGATACTTTTTAAAATATGTTCTAATGGGTTTATAAGGATCAAAGTTACTTCAAGTGCCACTTCATCATGAATTTGTGTCTAGGACACTTTTTTTTTTACAGCATCAAACTATAACCATTGGAATTTTATTTTAGAAAGATTGCAAATTATAAGTGTTTATGTTTCTATAGAGGTAATAATGGAAGTTATTATTTGGTGAGTGCTTGAGGTTTAATCAGTGTGTCAGGTCCATGCTTTATTATGTATGCATGCCAATTTATAAGTGTGTAGTTCCCAATCCTTACAAAACCGGGAAAGGTAGGTTTTATTGTACCTACGGAACAAAGAAGAAATAGGCAGACAGTGGCTTTTTCTATCTCAATGTCACCCTGTGTGCATGTTGAGCACACATATATCATTTGGTCATGTAGTCCTAACACAACCCCTATGGAGTAGCTACTGCGACTGTACCCACTTTATAGATGGGGACACTGGGGCTTAGAGAAGCTTTCCTAGTTAAGGTAATTGACGTTAGATACTATAACAAACAAATCCAAAAATATATTTTCTCAACATAGGCAAAAGTCTCTTTTGTTGCTTATATCAAGTCCCAGACAAGGTTGCTAATCAGCAGGTGGCCCTCCTCCAGCAGAGAATGAGGATCCCAGTCTCCTTACATCTCGTGGCTCTGTGGCCTCATATGAACCTCACTGGCAGGAGAAAGCACGGAGGGTTGCCCAGGAGAGATGTGTACTGGAGGTGGCACTGGGGGTGGTACATGTCATATTGTTCACATCTCATTGGCTGTCCATAACTGCAAGGGTGGTTGAGAAATGTAGTCAAGCTGTAAGCAAAGGAAGAAGAGGATAGGGATTCCATGAACAGCGAACTTGACTCTATCACATTTATTAAGTCACTGGCAAAGTCACACCGCTTGTAAATGTTAGTGAGCAATGGGTTTCAGGGCCCCCTGTCTTCTGGACCAGACTGCTGGCCTTTCACCCTCAGACTCTCATCATGTGCAAATCTAGTCTACAGCCAGCTTAGCTCTCAGCCCAGCCTGGCCTCACAGGGGAGGTAAATGTGACAGTTTTCTATAGTGCCACTTGTCCCCACATTCCCTAGAGTAATTGTGTCCTAAATGGGATGATTCGAAAGGTAAACAGAGATGTTAATGTCATGATGAAATGGAATATACATGAGAGAACAATTTAAAGAAATCAGTCACGTGACCGTCATAAAATGAAAAAAGGCACAGCTACTGTGTTGCATTGTCCTGTGTTGAAAAACAAACACCACTTAGGGACGGAAATAAAAAGGTGCAATAGTTGTTACTGAATTGATGTTCTGTCTGGAATTTATCCAGTGTGAACTTCCCTTACCTCTTAGAGACTGTGTCCCATGGATGCCGAGTCAGAAAAGAACCCTTAGTTCTGGTACAAAATGGATAGGGTTTCCCTGAATGTAATAATAGTTTCTTGCAGATTTAATACAAATGTCCTTTAGACCACCACTTCTCACCCTCCCAGATCTGAACAGTAAAGCAAACTGCAGCCAGCTAAATGAGTGTTAAATGAGGGGCAGCATCAGATTGGACAGTTGGGAGAGCCGTGCCCTGGCAGAGAAGGGCATGGTAAGGTGCTTCTGGTGGGAATATTTTGCACTCTCTGCATATTTATTGCTGATGCCTCATTGCATCTCTCTTTCAATTTATTACGTTACCTTCTTGAGACAAATTTGAATAACTACCTATTGCCCTTAGCCATTGCTGAGCTTAGCAGATCCACAAAGAATAAACCAGAAACCCATGGGTATACATGCTTCCCCAGTGTGATTAGAAGGAAAACAAATGAGAGGGGAAGTTCTCCTATCAATTTTCTTCTCTCCGAGGAGTTGGACTGTGTGGTAAGGGTATTACCGGTAATCAAATGGTCTCAGAACTGTGACCCAAACAGTTTGGCAGATTCTGTACACATAAGTAGGTGCTCCTTTGTCAGGGGGAGAATGACATGCATAGTTTTGAAAATGAAGGAGCTGGCACCTTATAGAAAATCTGTGGGAAACACTGCTGTTAACCAGAAAAATAAAAAAGGCAATTGTGCATCTTCTCAGAGAGAAGAACAAGGGTCCTTCGAGTTACCATAACGCTTTCGAGTTGCCTTTGAGTTCCCACTAGGGCATGTAAATTTCTTCTTAAGCTCGGGTGAATTTTAAACCCATTCTGCTTAGCACTGGGGATATAAATAGCAATCACTGTCTTTTAAGCATTCTTTGCCAGGCACTATTCTAAAAGTTACATAAATTAATAAATTTCATCTTCACAACAAGCAAAGAAGTTAGTAGTGCTTACATTTTACAGATGGGGAAACGTGCACAGAGAAGCAAAGCAGGTTCCAAGGTCACACAGTTAGTCAGTCAGTGGCAAAGCTGACTCACTATATACTAGTCACCACACACACACACACACGCACGCACGGTTTCCTCCACCTTACCCTCCCACAGCTTTGCCACCCCTAGTCTCACTTTCCACCACTAATCTCAAAGCGTAATCTAGAATAATCAACCGCCATTTCCTCTGCACCCACTCACTCTGCAAACATTTGTACTCTGGATTCTACAATCACATTCTATTGGAATTCTTTCTTCTTCAAGGACAAGGATGACCTCTAATTAAAAATTAGAAATATGGGCCCCAACCAGTGTGGTTCATTTGGTTGAAGCATCATTCCATAACTGCAGGGGTGTGGGTTCAATTCCCAGTCAGGCACATACATTACATAGGTTGCGGGTTCAATCCCTGGTCCAGGAGCACGTGTGCGACCACCAGTTTGCCTATGATCCCAGGTCTTATGGGAGGCAACCAATCAAGGCTTTTCTCTTGCATCAATGTTTTTCTTTCTCCCTTTCCCTCTCTCTAAAAGCAATGAATAAAATGTCCTCAGGTGAAGGTAAAATTTTTTTTCAAAGTAAAAAAATTAAAAATCTGTGAGATTCCCTCAGAACTTATTCTTTCTCACCTCTGTCCACATTTTGACCCTTTCTGGAAGTTCTCCTCCCTTGGCTTCTAGGTTCCTGACACAGAATGTAGGTTCCACATACCTTCCCACATGCCTTTCTCAATGTTTCTTCACCACCTCCTGTGGTTCGTTCCTCCAGTGCTTTCAGTGTGCATTGAGGGCAGCTCCTGCATAAATAGAATGTGCTGGTCATAGGTTTAGGTGTAAGCATTGGCAAGAAAGAGGTTGTCTCTTGGAAGCTCAGGAATAGAACTGTGTAGCTCTCGCGCAGGTTCAGGGAGAGGAATGGTGGGAAGTGGGAGTGGGAGTGGTAGATTCAGCTAGCTGTGGAGGACTCTGATTGCCAGGAGTGAGTTTTTCACACATACCGAGTGTGCTGTCAGATACCGACAGTGACATGGGTCCACAACACTAGTATATAGACTATAAAACTAGTATATAAATCATTTCTGTAGTAAAATTATTGCTTGCATAAGCATACCCAATAGACTCTGAGATAAAAATATCCCAACAGAATGAAATCTAATGCCACAGCAAAGACAATTCTTGCAATCTGGAATCCACAATGATGTCATGTTTATACTCATCAAACTGCATTATAAACACAGGCATAAGTAGCTCTTGCTCCTCTATTCTGACTTGCTTTTTATTTTTCAGTAGGCCACTTAGTCTCAGCCTCCTCGTGCATGTGAGAGAAATTCCTGCCTTCCCTTGGTTACTTTATAGAGAGTATTAAAAAACAGTACTTTAAGGCTCTTCTTCAGTAGATGTGATTATGACCAGTCCTTAGAGCATGACTATGTATGACATACGTATGTATGACTGACTTCATTTTAAAGATGAGACAAAAACACAAAGTTACTTTTTGGCTTGGAGCTCCCATCTTTGAATATTCAAGAGAGAAGACTATTCATTTCTCCCCTTGAGTTTTCCTTTGGCCCTAATTCCTGCCACTGTCTCTGTGTTGCTATTAAGTAATACAGCCACATGCTTACGTGAAAATAAGTCAAAGGTCCATTGTCTGCCCTTTCATTCTCACCTTTTTACTGACACAGGCAACCCTGTCCAACAAAGGCAGCATTGACGGGCTCTTCAATGTGATCCCTGCCACTTCAGCCCTGGGGGCCTGCTTTGTTTTCAGTCCCAAGGAGGGCATCATCGAACCAGCCGGGGTCCAGGCTATCCAGATTACCTTCAGTTCTGCCATCCTGGGCCACTTCGAAGAAGAGTTCCTGGTCAGTGTCAATGGGTCACCCGAGCCTGTGAAACTGACTATTAGGTAAGATGCATCTATAACTAATGTGGCAACTAGCTGAACTTTTTACCTACTGCTTTCTTAAACTTGAGAACTAGATCATGTCTTAAATATCCATAACCATCTTTGTTGATATAAACACATCAACTTAATGGGGTGTTTTAAATTTCCACCAGTGCTTCCGTACTAAATGTGTAACTTACTATTGTAACATGGATACAGATGTTATTTTGGTATCTAGTTTTTTTCCGTAAGCCATAACCTAATAAAACAAGGGCTTAATCATTAAATTAGTTTGTAGTAACTCTCTGTTTTAGGATGTTTAGGAAAAATAAGTTACTAACACCTGGATAAAATCATCTCTCGGTTATCACAGTTTCACCAAACCTTCACCTTTTGTTTTTCTTTTAATAAAATTCTTTAAATGCTCTTACGTATAATGCCTACAGGTATTACAAAAGAGTCTACTAATAGTGTCAGCCAGTCAAGGCTAGACACTTGCAGCTTTTGTGCTAGGATTCTTTTGATGGCTTCTCCAGCGGCTTGTGATCATGGAAAGTCATTAATAGCAGAGTTTGTCCTCCAGTTTTAAAAAGTTCTCTGTGACCAACCCATTGTAAAGACCTATGACTTTGGTCCCCAGGGCTTAGAGAGAGAATATTTTTCAGAACATACTGCAGATTCTGTTTGGATTCCCACAGCAGCAGGTTGCTGGTTCCCAGGGGGGTCCCTCTCACCCCGGTTCCTGCCCTCCGGGCCTCCCCCCATCTGTGGCTGAGGTTTCCTCCGGGCCTGAAGGTAACAGGGAAAAGAGACAGACACATACGGCCTGAAGGATCCTAGGAAACTCACTGATCTTCAGATACCCACTGGAAATTCAAAATCTCAAGATTAGTTCAAAAGTTAGTAGCATTTCTTCTCCAGTCTTTCTTCCACCTGAGTATCCTGTGACAGGGTGAACCACATCCTCCCGAAATTCTTATGTTGAAGTCCTACCACTCAGTACCTCAGAATGTGACTGCGCCTGGAGACAGAACTTTTAAAAAGTAGTTAAGGGAAAGTGAAGTCACTTGGGTCGGCCCAGTCCAGTCTGACTGGTGTCTGTAAGAAGAGGACATTAGGACAAATACACAACTGGAAGAAGACCGTGGGAAGACACAGAGGGAGGGCAGCCATCTACAAGCTGGTGGAGGAGTGGCTCGGAAGAAACCGGTCCTGCCAGTACATTGATCTTGGACTTCAAGCCTACGGAACTGTAAGGAAGTCAATGTCTGTTGTTTAAGCTACCTAATCTGTGATATTTTGTTACGGCTGTCCCAGCAAACCAATACAAACCCTAAAAAGTAAGGAGAATGAATAGGTATATGCCTCAATGGTTCTGGGCCATAGTTTAGATAGCCTGCTACAGTCATAAACTGTTTTTTTAAGATTTTATTTACTTATTTATTTTTAGAGAGAGGGGAAGGGAAGGAGAAAGAGAGGGAGAGAAACATCAATGCATAGTTGTCTCTTATACACTGCCTACAGGGGACCTGGCCTGCAACCCAGGCATATGCCCTGCCTGGGGATCGAACTGGTGACTCTTTGGTTTATAGGCCAGCATTCCATCCACTGAACCACACCAGCCAGGGAGTGAGTTGTTTATCTAAATTCAGATTGTGATTGCCTATTCCCTAAACTATTTCCTAAACTAACTAAAAAAATTAGTGAAATAAAAATAAGCAAATTAAAAGGCTACACTAGACAATACCCATTTAACACAAAGGAGGGTGATGATGGAGGGATAGAGAAACAAAGAATGCACTACAACTTATAAAAAACAAGTAGTAAAATGAAAGACATGAATCTTATCAGTAATTACATTAAGTGCAAATATATTAAACACTTCAATTAAAAGGTAGAGATTGGCAGAATGGATTTTTAAAACCCCCCACAAAACATGATCCAACCACATGCTGTCTACAAGAGACATACTTCAGATCTGAAAGTATGAACAGACTGAAACTTAAACAGGTGGAGGAAGATAGATCAGGCAAACAGTAACCAAAGAAACCTGGAGTAGGTATACTACTATCAGGCAGAATAGACTTTAAAATAAAAGTTGTCACTGGAGACAAAGAAAGACATTTTACAATAATAAAAGTCAATTCATCAAGAAGCTGTAACAATTATGAACATATGTGTACCTACCAGCAGAGCCCTAAAATACATGAAGCCATAAGCTGACAGAACTAAAGGGAGAATAAGTAATTCAATAATATAATTGGCGATTTCAACAGCTGATAGAACCGCTGGGCAGAAGATGACGAAGGAAAGAAGGCAGTTGACAGCACCGCAAACCAGCCCGACCCAACAGACAGACGCCCGTGGAACACTCCACCCAACACGTGCCCTTGGAGCCTTTTCCAGGGCAATATGTTAAGCCATCGAATAAATCTCAGTAAACTTTAAGTGATTTGAATCATATAGAATGTGTTCTCCAACCACAAAGAAATGAAATTAAAAATCAAGAAGAAGAAATTTAGGGAATTCACAAATAAGTGAAAACTATACACACTCCTGTATTACCAATGGGTCAAAGAAGAAATCACAACAGAAATTTTAAAATACTTTGAAATAAATGAAGACAAAACAGAAGATGTTAAGCTTTTGAGGTATAGTGAAAGTAGTGTTTATAAGAAATTGATAGCTATAAGTGCTTATTTTTAAAATGAAGAAAGATCTCAAATAACTAATAATATGAATTTCCATTTTAAAAACTTGAAGGAGCCAAATAAATCCAAAACAAGCACAAGAAGGGAAAAAATAAAAGTTAGACTGAAGTGAATAGAATAAAAAGCAAAACGATAATTAATTAAACTGAAAGTTTGTTCTTTGAAAAAGTCAACAAATTGACAAAGTTCAGTGAAACTGACCAAGAAAAAAATGGAGAAAAGCCTCAAATTACTAAAACCAGGATTTAAAGAGGGGCATTAATATCAACCTTATAGAAATAAAAAGGATTTTTAGGGAGTATTATGAACAATTGGATGCCAACAAATTAGATCGTCTAGGTGAAATGGACATGTTCCTAGAAAGACACAAACTATGAAAACTAACTCAAAAGTAATAAAAAATGTGAGTAAATCTATAATAGCTGAGGGAGATGGAAACAGAACCACCATCACTACCACCCACCCCCTGCCTACTACACACACACACAACCCAGCAGCAGATGGCTTCCCTGGAGAATTCTACTGAATGTTTAATGAAGAATTAATATCAATTCTCCACAAAATAGTATCTCCCCCTGAAAGAAAAGAGTTGTAAACACTCTCCAAATCATATTAAAACTATAACATTTTCCATCATGAATAACAGCGTTTCAGAATCTCCCAGGAACCTGCTCACAGGGAAACTTGGACTAGTTAATACGCCAGGTGCTCTGTGGAGGTTAAGTCCCTCATTTCATCACCTGGGTGTCACCATTTTCCCAAACTTCTATGCCCCTTTCTTATTTTAGATGTTTATTCTTGTTTTCTTTCAAGAAAGAAGGAGAGCCTGACTCTGGAAAGTATGTTTATGTTCATCCTAAAACTAATCACCAATTGCCCAGAGAAATGGTCTCATCTAAATCGCATGTGTCCAAAAGTGTTCCAGCACTTCAAACAGTGAACAATAATTCTGAAAACTGGGTAGCTGTCAGGTGTCGTGAAGAAGTGTCCGATGATGAAGAGTGAAATACACGTATAATGCATTATACTTCTCCAGCTCCACACTTCAATACTGACTTCACTGGCAACACTGTCTTGGGCCTTGTGGCCCAAGAAATCTCTGTAAAATTAATATTGTGAATTCTGGATTTTGTTTTCTATTCTTTTATCATCAGGTATCCACTGTCCTCAACATTCCATAATTTTGGCTAGCAGGCCTTGAAAGATCAGAGCAGTTACACTTTTGCTGTTTCTTTTTCCTCTTCAACTACATGACCGAGTATTTTAAGTGGTTGGATAACCGCTGTAACATTGATTTAATGAATGGTGATTAAAAAAAATTACCCATGTGCAGGTTTTTCCCTCAGTCTTTTACATCTATGATTTTATAACTTTTAACCACAGCACAGATGTTTTGTTTTCAAAACACTTCACTTAGCATGTCAAAATGATTCAGTCATTCTAACTCGTAGTCTTCGTGATTTAACAGACCACTGCGTTGATGGAGCACCCAGTCTTGGCAGAGGCTGTCCTAAATTCAGAACCCAATAGAATGAATGTGACTATCTCTAAGTCCATGTGGTTACCAATGGGGACCAATTCAGCCACAATTCCCTTAGTTATATGTGCCTTTGAACAAATGTGATTTAACTCTGGTTCTTTCTACTTCACTGATTAAATGGCTGCTTTGTGCAAATTTGTGGGCTTCTTTTTTGCTTTCTTTAGTCTTTTGTGCCTTTCAGACACTTTTGATCTGCTATTTTGCATCTCCTTAGCCCCCATAAAAAACTTCTTTTACAAGTCAATGTCTAACCCGTAGGCTCAGCAGGATGCTAACTCCTTGCTGAGTACCACCAGCCATCTCTTTTGAAACCTCTTGGGATCATTAGCATGAAATATAATAGATGGTCCTGAGAATTGGAGCTGGCTGCACTGAGTCTTTGCTGTCATGGCTCTTCCCACACTGACTGCAGCCTCTCACCACATCATAGTCAGGTCTGTAGCAGCCGGAAGTATGGCTAGGGCACCGGTGCATTCAACGTGGTATGACACACCCACGTCACCAATATCTGGAGCTGGGTGAGTAAGGATACTCATACTTATGCTTAGTGTGTTTGCTGGTGATCTAGAGGCTATAGGATCTACTATAGGCATACCTCATTTTATTGCTCTTTGCTTTATTACACTTCAAGATGTTGCATTTTTTGTTTGCTTGCTTACAAGTTGAAAACAGGACCCTCCACCCGCAAAAAGATTACAACTCTCTTTATTGTGATACTTGCTTTATTATGATGGTCTGGAACCAAACCCACAATATCTCCGAGGGCAGCCTGTATTTATTTTAAACTAGAGCATCACTCCCAGATCACGAGGCCTTGCATTGAGAGAGAAGTAGACCCACGTTTAGAGTAAAGAGTCCTTAAAAGTCACCTATTTCAGTCCTGTCTTGTATACCCAAGGAAAAGAAACTAAAGCCTGTAGAGGTAAAGCGACTGGCCCAGATCACAGTGAGTTGGTGGCAGGAACTGTTCAACACTGTGATAGACCAAAATCTCTTAGTTCTTTTTCGTGGTGGTTGTTGTTAAGTCCTGGATTCTATAATTGATTTAATGACAAATTACGGTCACCAGTACTGACCAGTTGCTGACTGTTGCCCTGCATTCCCTGGACCCTGTCCCCACTCCCCACTTTGTACTCCTATTTCCAGAGGCTGTGTCATCGGACCCACCTTCCACTTTAACGTTCCTGCTCTGCACTTCGGCGATGTTTCCTTTGGTGAGTATTCTTCTGCTTTAAATGAGAACCAGAGAAGAATGACTTTTCTCTACGTGGGAGGAGGAAGGTTTACAAAGAATCTTTCTTATCGTTTTTTTTTTTTTGTTTTTTTTTTTTTTATGGGCAGTAGCTAAGAGGGTCTACAATAGTGCTTCCTCTGCGGCAGTGGCACCCTGCTGTCGCTTCCCAGTTTTCTGTGTGTGAGTTGTGACTGTGTGCCGGGCGCTGGCTGCTATCAGGCCGTGTCTGCTCCCCTCTTCCAGCCGTGGAACCGCAGACAGCCGTGTGCTTCGTTCCACCATCTAAAACTGAGGAACATTCCATTTGTATGAAGAATCTGATTTGCCAGCCTGGCTACAAGCAACCTTTTCACAGAGATGCTCTCAAGTTCAAAGTAAACTCAGTGGTGGTTTGATTCAGGTGTCTTGTCACTCCAAATTGAAGACTTTTCTGTATATTTGTGTTATCTTCTCACTCAGTTACTTCTCTGAGTTATTTTTTTCCATCTAAGCCCAAAATAAAAATTATAACAATAGCAGCAGAGGTTCCCATTTGTAGCTTCTTCCATCTATTCCAATCACTGCTAAGTGGGTTATGTGCAGCACTACATTTAAACCTTTTAGCAATCCTGTGGGGAAGTCCTACTTAAGATCCCCATTTTAGAGATGGAGGACTTGAGCACTGAACAGTTAAATAACTCCCTGCAGTCCCACAGCAGTGGCTGGGTTAGCATTTCAACCAAGGTGTATTTAAATAACTACTGTCAGAACCAGTGATAGTGCTCCAAAGAGGCAAAAAATTGGTTCTTGGTGGATAAAAAATGACTTAAATATGACAATGGTTTGTGGTCCTCAAGAGTTTAACCCTACCCAACAGAATCTTATTCCTTAGTATTTAACTGGATATTAAATAGAATTTAAATCATATTAAGTAAAATTGATTTGATTTGATTTGATTTAAAATTAATTTATCACAGTGGTTCTTTTTAGAGGTGGTCATTTTTAAAGGTTCAGAACCCCTAGTCTAAATCCATATTGTACAATCCTTTCCATTTTGCTCTATTGCCTCCCATTTTGACTTTTAGTTCTTTGCTTCTACTTGGAGAAAATAGTTCTTTAGAAAAAGCGGATTAGTATTGCCTTCATCAGTTGCTTTAAGATGTGGGGGTTATGATGGTTTTATTTATTAGGGACATATTTATTTATACAGTGTCCCCCATCTACATTATATGGAAAAGGTACATACTATAGGAAAATCTATATAAATGAAGTTGAATATCTATTTGTTACTATAGAATATGAAAATAGCTGGAGAGATTTTTACAAATTTTTAGGGCATGTTTGAATGATAGACTCTTTTGAAGGAAAACAGAAGTGACCTTCAACTAGAAAATCATCTGGTGGCCAACTAAGAAAGGCACACTCAAGGGTGACTGTGACAGATGCACAGTGAGAAGTGAATTAGTGTACCCCGACCCATGCACTCACCCTCCAAACAGTCCAAACGGAGTCCACTGCGAGGTCTGGCGACTGATGCACGACAACAGCAGGTCCTTCCATAGCCATTTAGGTACCAAGCCCAGCACAAGGACATCTGGGAGAAGTGCCCTATGTCGCATTACTCTGGAGGGGAAAAAACAAAGTGCAAATAGGCACCGCAAATCAGTTACTTCAAGAAATTTCACCCGGATTCATTATCCAGAATCTGCTCTATCACTCAGCTCTGCAATGCTAATGTAAAGGTTGTACCAATGATAAGCCAATAGCTCTTTGTCATACTTGGTCCAGCAAGAAGTTTTGGTAACTAGTTCAGGTGGAAATCAGAAATAGCTTATTTTTGTTTTCTTGTATAATGTCTTATTGAACCATTGGGTGATACAGCAGCTAGACAAGAGGCTAGAGCATACTACAGAAATTCCCCAAGTCTGAGACCTGAAAATGTATCCCTTCTAAGCCCACCTTCAAAACCCAAGTTGCTTTTTATTTTAGTTTGCATACCAATTCCTTTGTTTTCTCTCTAATGGGGCAGGAAATGTTAGCAAAAACATACCTTTTCTGTTTGCCAACAGGAGATTGAGGGTTATTTAGTTTTCAAAACTACTTGGGTCAATTAATTCAAGCTACTTTGCTATATGTTTCTAGATTTTGCACTGTAACAACCAAAATTAGAAATAACTTTTGATACCCTTTCACAGTTATTTTATGATATTTTCAAATCCCAAAGTGGGTACTGGAGTCCTCATAACTTCAACACAAAGACTCATTATTTTTCCAGGTTGTTTGACCTCCCATCACAAAGAAACGTGGTCTGTTGGACAGTTATTTATTGGAAACTTTTAATTATTACCATGTATGTGCAAGTAAGGCGTTGATGAGGCAGATAAAAAAGTAAGCATGTCACTGGCTCAGGAATGAAAGACCAACAGGGGGCATATAGTTCCAGATGCAGAAGAGAAATGAATTGTTACAAGAGTGAGCCAGGAGTCGAAGGAATTTTTTTCAGTTATTGCAGGATGGCAAGCATATTATGTGGCATTAAACAAGGTTTGCTTTTGAGCTTGGGCATACGTAAAGCTAACTAAAGGTGGTAATATTGTCCCTGTGTGGATACGGATGCCCCTTCCTGAAGAGGTGCCTGTTACGGGTCAGAGTTAGAGATGAAGACCCAGATGTGGCATCAGGGCCTGTTGGGATTGAAGTGGTGAGGATATTACAAACACCGTAAAGTTGACTGGTATCAAAAATGCTTGAACTATGACTATGAAGATTTGGATGATAGGATTAGAAGTTGGATGACATATCTAATAATTAATTAGGCTGACGGAAGCTGCAATCGCATGAGAGAGTCAGACTGTAGAATTTGGGTGGCAGTTGTCCCTGAAGGAACATTGAGGCTTTGATAAACCCTTGGATGGGGGAAAGAATAAAATGGACGTCGTTGCAGCTGATATGCCAGGTGGTAGACCGAAGGGGCAGGAAGTATCTGTGAAGTCACTGCTTTTCAGGAGGCACAGAATGTGTGGGATTGGGAATAGGGAGTCTAGAAGCCTGCGGGCACTCAGTGTAGTTGACAATTCGATGGTTTAGACTGAGAAGTTAGGGTTTGAGGACAGAGTTATTGGGGTACATATAAGCATTAAAGAAAATGAATGATAGTTGTCTCTTCCATGGCCCAGGTATGAACTGTCACTGTTTTACTCAATTATTTAAATGGACTTCAGGGGAGTGTAAAAGAGGGACTCAAGGGCAAAGCTTAATTGTAATGATTATAAAAAGATCTTAGAAAGGTTGGTAGAAGAGGTTAGAGTAGGCACGAGCAAAGCCCAGACCCAAGCAACTTATCATTAATAATAAGAGAGACATAACAAAGGATATCATGAGTATATACCTTGAAGATAGTAAATAGAGACTGAAATGGCCAGTTGATAAAGAAGGAAAGTGTGAGAATCAGTAATGTCAGACTTCTAGCACAATCTCATTCCACAAATCTTGGGCAGAACCTTCCTGGAACGATTGCTCGTTCTGAGGAGCTGGGGATAGCAGTCTGTTCCTGCGGGTCGTCCGTTTCTGGAATGTTTGTTAGCAGACTTCCACTGAAGTTCTCCAGTGTTTTCTGCAGGTCTTCACCCAACAATAACTCAGTCTCTTTGGGCATCTTTTTACCAAAGGTCCACTTTATAGTCCACCGCAGGGTCAGTGAGGCCTCCAAAGGCTGAAGACTGTTGGTGTATTTTTTTCAGAGTACTCCTTGTTGAGGTTGAAAGAAGGGAGAACTCCTGAGGGTGAGTTTTTAGGGAAGGCTTCTAGAACTGATAGATGGGTTGGTTCTTGACAACATTTGGTTATGTCTGCATGAAGCAAGCTTGATTCGGACTGATGAAAGATGTAGTTACATGGATTTTCTAGTTTTTATTTTCCAAGGTGAACAGTCTGTGAGTTTCTGGGGAAGTTAACTGGGTCTGATGGACATTAGAACTGAAGGTAAAACTCTTCATCAAAGAACTCCAAGAGCCTCAGAGAGCTTGGACAATGTCAGATTGGTAACACTGTTTTTTATGTTCTACATTTCCCAGGGATTGTGGATTATGAAATTTTTGATCAAATGGTTAACACTGTAAGCTTCTCAATAATTCTTCTGTGTAAGGCTGCTATTTCCCAGGGAGGAAAGTTATAGTGTACAACTTTTTAGTCACATTTATGGCAGCAGCCTTTCTGTAGAGAGAGGCTCAAATCCATCTAAAGAGTTTGTAGACAGTTCCAAGAACGGATTCTTAAATATATCATTTGGGTACAGCCCATTTTTATTTCAGAGGTTTTCTGCAGCATGATTTAGACTGCCCAGTTTTTCTGGAATATGATACCCAGCTACAGAGGAGAAACTTTTCCATCACCTCTTGGCTCAGAGATGATCTTATCTCTTATATGATGGGAACTGTGACTTTTGTCAGAGGCCAGCTCAGACTTTGGGGCACATCACAGATGGTTTGCTGAAGACCACTGAAGTGGACAGAGGATCCTGATTTTAGGAAATGATTTTTTTTCTGAGTCTGAGACTGAGTTTTTGTGTCCAGATTGGCTTGTGTGGATGTGTTCATTGATCTCCCATTCTCTGATGTATTTCTATAGATAACTACAGAAGTACCACCTGTTTTGCATAATGATCTGCCAACAATTTCCCTTTGCTTTGTGGAGATTTTTATTTTACTAGAAAAATTAGGAATCCATTGTCTAAAATATCCCATGTGTCCCCCCCGCCTCAAATCTATGAACTGTAATTTAATTTTTGGTCCTGAGTATTGCTGAAACAATTTAACACTCCCCTGAGCTTAGGTCCATTCTCCAGTAGAATAGTCATGTTCTAAATAATATACCCTCTTTTGTCAGAATCCGAACTTTTCCTTTGTAGCCTGATGATCTTTTGCTCCTAGTTTCTTTAAATCTTCTTATGGGCCCTCTAGGTCAGGTGAAGATATGTGTATTAAGTGAGAATCACATCTCTTGAGAATATTGTCTTTCAAGTCAAATTTAAGTATCAGGAGAGGAATGAAGGCGCCTCTGTGAATCCTCGAGGCATTCAGGCCAAGCATGTTGTTCATTATGCCGAGAAAAGTTGAAAATTTTTATACTACTTTTTATATACTTTTATTTCTCACCTCATAGATGCTGAGAAAGGGAGAATAGAGGTATACCCTGTGCACTTGCATTCAGATGAAACTACAGGTAGAATAGTAGTAGGATTCGCTGCTACCAGACACCTAAGAACAACATTCATATTAATGAGCCTTTAGTCTTCAATAGCATCCCTTTCCTTTGGGCTTCTTGACAAGCAATATTACGGGTAACAGCACAGGAGTTGTTCCAGCTAGGAGGTTATAATTGGCTTTATTCTCAGAAAAACTAGTAGCTTCAGGGAAGTAGTCTGAGCAATGGTTTGGAAGAACCCATCTGAGTCTCTATAGGACCCCACTCCATAATATGTACACCCTACAATAGAAGAGTGCTTATTCCATAAAGGGTCAGGTCGGATCAGGGTGAGCAACCTACAGTTTCAAGAGTCAATGTTGGGAAAGTTCAGAAAAGTCAAATGCAGCAATTACATGACTGTGGAACTGACTTCCTAGCAGTTCCTCTGCAATTTCCAAGAATAATCCTTTAAACTCACGTAATCACATCATTCTTCTTCCATTAAAGTATTCTTCCAAGTAGATTGGCAGGCGAGATATCACAAAGGAGACATGAACAAGTTTCCTCTATAGCCCTATTATATAGACAAAGGCTCAGACATGGGGAGAGAAGCAGATCAGTTCAAAATACCCTCTGCAGTTCTGCAGTAATTACTCCAAGACCAATTGTTTAATATTGCAATAAGGTTCAAAATAGAAAGAGTACTGTTTGCATCCAGTAAAATATGCACATTTGTTTTCTTACGATTATAGATAATTCTTGTTCTGAAAGTGGTAGCGGATACAATGGCCACCTAGGGAATCCAAAATCAGAACTCAGTTTATTGCTTACCAGGCAAGGAGGACCCACAACTCTTGGGAAACGTGAATCTCACTGAAATATAGGAGGGCTAGATACCACATGAAAAAGCAGCTTTATCTAAGGGAGGGAAAAGCTGGTGTGTTAGTCTCCGGCTGCCTCAGAAACAAATAGCAAAGCCTCTCTTAGCAGAGGCTATTACTCGGTTTTATGTCCTCGACCCTGAGGGCATGAGCTTCAGACAGGTCCAGAATGAGTTATGTAATGTCTGGGCAGGCTCTGGGTCACACAGCGGGCAAAACCACGCAGGCTTCTCCCTTCACACACAGACAGATAAAAAGAGCAAACATTATTCTACTTGGGGGGAAATTTTGTATTGCTATGCAAAAATTAAATGCAAAATATACTTCTAGAAGACTACTCAGCAAATTGGTAATAGTGGCCGCCCCTTGGGAGGGACCAGGATGATGATTTTATGTCTGTTGTTGCTACATAGTAAATGCATGATAAGTATTCTTTGAATGAATGGATGGTGAATAAAGGAATAAAATGTATTTATTGATTTACAATTAAAATAGCATCAGAAAGAGTTAGAATTAAGCAAGTAATGCTGAGTTGCACAGACGATTTATTTAAGAGGTTTAGCAGTGCTGGGGGAGGTGGAAGTTAAAGGGAGGCCATTGTGGGGGTTTTATTTCTCACCTCATGCTTCGTTTTTCAGGGTTCCCTCATACCTTGATATGTTCCCTCAATAACACCTCCTTGGTCCCGATGACCTTCAAACTGCGTATCCCTGGGGATGGCGTTTCCAGTTGTCGGGATTATTCGGACAACCAAGGCTCCTCTTGGAACAAGGGTGAAATACCCATAACGAAACCTAAAGAATTCACCATCACCCCCAGCTGTGGCACCATTCGCTCCCAAGGATTTGCTGCTATCAGGGTAAAGTGACAGCCCTCCAGCACACAAGGCCAAGCAGCTGAACTCCCAGATAGCCAGCTGTTGGGACCACATCTAGGCCATGCTTGGTGCTGCCATGGTCAGTGGGAAGGAGTGCCTCCCGTTCACACAGGAAGGTGGGCCCATGAGGAGGTGAACCACTGTGGCGAAAGGAGCCGGGTATAAATATATTGGGCAAAAGAGCGGACACCACTCCAGTGGATTTCCATCAATCCTGATGTGTTGCCTTCCCCCAGAGCAGTGGGTTGTAGTGATTTCTAGTGAAACCACTGCTCTGTATGGATAGCACACCCATCAGTACAGATATAAACCAACTGAAGGACTCACTGGTAATTAGGTCCTCCTTTCCTAATTTAGACTCAGATGGTTTATACCAATAAATGTCCACATGTGTGCCCCAGATGACATCCAGTTTATCCAGATGTTTAATCTGAATCTGGGCTTCATGGCCAATGTGGATGTGATGTTTCTAACAGCACTTCGCATTCGGGTCCACAGGCCTGATGCTTTGGCTATGGCTCTGCAGTGCCTCCAGCAGAATTAGTTCATGGCCAGCTGAGAACAGTTTCACTGTCTTCCCTCACTTACGTTTTCTTCTCCAAACAGTTAGGTCTAGCAACATTGAAGGCTGCTAAAGTGAAATGATTTCATCTTTTCTGGGGAAGAAAAAAAGATAAGACTTAATAACTAAGGTGGTTAATTTTCTCTTTAGTCATTGTCTGTGAATATTTAATTCAGCTGTGGTTTCATCCCTCAAAATTATTTTAAATGCTTCATAATATCTCCCATATTATCCACTCATCCTAGATCTTTCTGGAAGTTCTTAGCTCTTTCAAGGGCTTCTCCACGGGTCCAATGAGGTTTGATATCATATATCATCATCACTTCTCAAGGTTGCTGTCTCGGTCTGTTTTGGCTGCTCTTATAAAATTCCAGAAACTGGGTGGCTTATAAACAACAGAAATGTATTTCTTACAACCTGGAGGCAGGAAGTCAAGATCAGGGGGCCAGCATGGTTGGGTTCTGGTGAAGGTATTCCTGCAGCTTGCAGACTGCTGAGTCCTTACATTCTCACACAGTGGAAGGGGCTAGGGAGCTCTGTGGGCCCTGTTACATAAGAGCACTGATACTGTTCACGGGGATGGCACCCTCATGAGGCATTCACCTCCCAATGGCCCCACCTCCTAATACCATCACGCTGAGGGCTAGGATTCAACAGAGGAATTTGTGGGGATGCAACCATTAAAAAATCATAGCAGTTGCTGAATTTCCCAAGGAGAAGTGTTGCTGCATTGAATTTGTTTATTTATTTATTTTATTTATTAAACACTCAGCCTACATGTTAGCTAACTTTCCTTCCTTCCTTCCTTCCTTCCTTTTTTTTTTTTTTTTTTTTTTTGCTTCTCCCATATAGTACAGAAAGATTTGAGAAGACATAGATCTACCTAGCAGTCTTCTGCCAGAACCACTCGTTCTTCTGCCTTCTAACCACAGGCCGGGTTCTGGTGAAGGGTTACATCTCAGAGACGTAAACACGGGTTAGAGTCACTGTAGGAATCTACACACCAGGGCAGCTGCTTCTCTCCAAATCTGACGTGTTTTCTTCCCAAATCAAAGACCCCATCTTCACTTTATTTTTTCCTTTGTATTTGGCCAAGCCTTCTCCACGCTTCAATTTTTTTTCATGATCTGTACCCCAGCCACGTCTGTGTGGACCCAAATTTGCATCCAGAAATTCCCTTTGCACCCAAAAAATTTAATTAGTACCTGATACATAATTTATAGCTAGAAAAGCCTTAACTTGTGCCAGAAGCTGTTTTCTAGACTTTCAAGTATCTCTTCCAGTACAAGTCATTGTAAAGCAATTAAAAATTGTAACAAGGCTTCAAAAGCCTAAATGTACTGTTTCACAACAGTAAGTAAAAACACAGGGTGAAATTTACTGGCCAGATATTGTCCTTGGGTGGACCTTTCTTTGGATCTTCCTCTTTTCTGCTCTAATACTGAATGTAGGGGCGGGGGACAAGATTTCGGTAAAAAAAAAAAAAAAGACTAGTTGATTTCTTACGGCATTCTCTGCAATAGACATGCTTATGTCATTTATTTTGCTATAAGAGAAATTTAGCTGTAGTGCTTTATTGGTGCATTGAATTTTCATAATTTGGATAGCCCAGAGGTGTAGGGAATGATTTAAATTGCAATAATTAAGGTTCGTTTGATACTGCTCATCCTTCCGGGCCATTTTCCCCCTTATGAAGGCATACAGTTTCTTTGATAAAAACATCCTCAGAAATGAGCAAACCTATTGTATTAAAGCCATTGGGCTTCTCACCTGGCCTTTGAAAAAACTCAGCACGCCCTGACCCTGATATGTGACTTGTTCCACTGAAAATGTGAAACGCCGTATCCCATCATAAAGCACTCAGAAGCCTCACTCATCAGTGTGGCTGTCCCCTGGCTCCTTTCTCCACTCTGCGGAGGGAGAGCTGGACTTTCAGAAGGGCAGCTTTTCACCCTTTTCTTTCCAGGTGACCTTATGCTCCAACACTGCGCAGAAATATGAGCTGGCCCTGGTGGTGGACGTGGAGGGCATTGGGGAGGAAGTGCTGGCGCTCCTCATCACAGCGAGGTATCACACTCACCTGCTCCTCTCTTCCCAGTCTCCCCTGAGCCGCCCGTGTGGGCTGCCTCTTGTCCTGCTTCCCTGGGAAGGGAGACTGAATCTGATTCAGATAACAAAGCTTTAAAACAGCAGGCACACCTTTGGCAGAGATAAGAGCAGGGATGTGTGTGTTTTGCCATATGAAGAATAATAGTGCTCTCTATTTTTGACTTTCTGACTTTGAAGGTATAGAACTAAAAAGGGTTTAGCAGAAAGATGTGAACAGTTGCTGTTTTTTATTTTTATCTTTAAATACAGTACTCCAGAGTCAATGCAGCAGGAAGAGTGGTGCTCACAGTTCTGCAGTGTAAGATCCGTTTAGCAAGACGGTCCTGTTCCAGGTTGCAAGTGGGCCCTTGGCGAGGCCATCTCTAACCATATCAGCTCCTCAGAACCAGCGCCAACTTCTCTTCTTTTTAAGAGACAGCAGTGGGCTCTGGGAGGAGGTTAAGATCCTGGCTTTTCTGATGGACTGTGTCTCATTGACCAAGTTACAGTCTTTCCAAGGCTGGTGTGTCACCCAGTGATGATGACAGTGATCCTAACCACGGGCCACACACTTGTCAAAGTAAACAAGTCTCCAGGTCCAGGACTTTAGAGTGTATATCTGCTATCTAAAGGAAATAGAGGAAATTTCTGGTAATATATCAATTCCTAGGATTTAGGCCTGTAGTGAATCTTAGGAACGGGCACCTTAAAGAAGGCACAGACATGCTACTTGGTGGGGCCATTACAACAGGCACCACTGCCTGTGCCTTGGGCTTGAGTGAAGTCAGAGAGCAGCCTGCAAAGAACTTCAAGGTCAAGGCTTTGTCATGATCTACTTGCTTAGTATTGCCTCCGAAGACCTAACTACATTTTTTTTTGTTTGGTTAAAAAATGCACAGTCTTTCATCTGGTCCTCTCTATACCCAACTTTACCTTTTTGTCTAGTCTTGCATTTTTCTATGTGGATTTATTCTAATACTTTCCAGGCTCTTTTCCCTGCAGCTATCCTGATTTTTTTTTTTTAAAAAAGGTCCTAAGGGGCTATGAGTTTCCAACCACATATACTCTGTGTCCCAAGTCAAGTACTATGAACCCTCTCAGCCACAGTGTTTCAGGTAGTAAAGGATTAGCTTTAGGAAAGTCATTGGGTCAAATGACAACTTCCATTTTAGCTGAAAATGAGCACCTGTTCCATGCAAAATCCCAAGCTCTGGGATTAACAAGACTGTCTTTATGTCACTGCTTTAGTGTAATCTGTAGGAACTGCTCAGAGACTCTCAACAGAAGAACTGCCTTTCGAACTTGCTCCCTGAAGTGGTTTTCCCAGAGAGGCAGCAGCATCTCTTGCCACGCCCCCACCGCACAGTCTGCATCCCTTACTGAGCCCTTCCGTGGCACTGTGCTATGCCCTTCCTGCGCATTATCTCCTGTGTTTCTCGCAATGCCCTAAGAAGAGCTAATGATGCAAATGCCAGCCCCTAGAATTACCTTCATTTTACTTGTAAGCAAATTGGGCCTCTGGGAGGGAAAAGAACTTGTTCAAGGTTGTACTTGGTAAGGTCAGTATTGAACCTGGCCCAGGCTGATTCAGATGCCATGCTCCTCACAATTGCATTACATTGTGATAGGGCAGCAGGGCAGGGCAGACACTGAGATTCACAGGTAAAAAATAAAACCCAAGTCACCTAATGATAGACCTAGTGCACAGGCAGGGCTTCAGTCCTTCCCTCGTCAGCACCTAACTCCCCTCCCCAACATTTCCTGTTGTCACAGCACCAGGTCTGGGTCCAGCAGCTGCCTGAGCCCGTTGATCCAAGCAAGACAGCTGTTCTGCATAGGAATTAAAATTATCACCATTATTTAGATGGTGTTACTAGTCCTCAGGGGACTCTGGTCCTAAGTGTCACAGCTAGCTAGGACCCCGTGCTGGTGGCCTTGCTTGTTTGTCATGGAAACAGACCCACTACCTTAAGTAACTTGTACTGAGGGGGCCCCTTGCCAAAGGAAGGCCAAATATGAAAAACAGTGGAAATGTTAGTCATTACCCATGGGAAACAGCTGGTTGAGTCCTGCTTGTAGCCCTTTTTTGATTAAAAAATGGTGGCTGGGGGCTGAGGAAGAGAAAAATGGAAGGAGAGATCTGAAAATGATTAATGTAGTTATTAAAGAAAAATACTATATGACAGTAACAGATGCGTTTAACTTGGCATTCTGCACTTCTGTATGTAAACAAGCTTTCTATCCATTAAATTTTTTAATGGGCTCCTTCCTTCGAGCAGGTGTATTGTGCCTTCCCTCCGCCTGGTTAGTACAGAGGTGGACTTCGGACGCTGCTTCCTGAAGTACCCGTATGCAAAAACCATCCAGCTTGTCAATCACGATGACCTCCCAGGATGCTATGAGGTCTTGCCTCAGGTGAGTTACTTTATCTTTGTTTTAGTGTAGACTTTCCCTCAGTAGGAAAGAAAAATCTTTCTTAAGAGCTATATTCCTGAATTACACATGACCTTCTGTAATTCTGATTTTTAACCCTGGGATAATCTAGGGGTTGGGTAATAAAGCCACAGCTGGATGGCCACCTGCATGAGTGAGCAGCTGCAGGTGTAAATAGTTGCTAATTTCCCTGAAAAATTGCCTTTGATAAAGAAAGAAAGGGTCAATTAAGCCAACACGCAGAAGTTGCACCTGCAAATAATTGCCTTTGGGTGAACCATGCACGGAAGTGAGGGAGAGCTGGGAGTTTTCATGTGTCTGTGAGTGGCTGTGACTTGAACAGCTTCATTAACATATAGTGATGCAATACTTATAAATGGGCTTGTTGGACTAGAAGGCTAGAGATAATACAGGAATGGAAAAGGAGAAATTGCTTCTGTTTTTCCCCTGCTCCCTTCCCAGGAAATTGCTTCTTAATGTTTTATGAAATAGCTCTGTCCACATGCCACTCCACCTAGCTAGGTGGGAAACTAAGCAATCAAACACATAGGACTAAAGATTTTAAAAGATCTGTACAGCCTGGAGTAGTGGAAGTTTCCTAAGGAGATGCAGTTTACCAAGGAATGCATGTGGGTTTACACTCAGTTCTGTAAGTACAGTCCTCTGATAGAAATTCATGCAAACAAAATCAAATGGGGGTTTTATGTGGCTACAAGTTCAAAATGAGTTCAAAGGCCAATATGGGGACCACAGAACCAACGGAGGGTTAGGCCATGTTAGAGAAACATAGTGTTCAGCCAGAGAAAGGAGATTGCTACCGATCAGCACAGTGTCAGAATTTTGTCTTCAGATCGTGGCATTGCATTTTTGTAATAGAAACTTAGAAAAAGAATGAATCATGTTCAGAGTAACCAGAAGGGCAAACTATGTCATCCGAAAATCCAAGTCACATGAGTAGAAAATGTAGTATTTAATCTGGAACAGACAAGACTTAACCAGGCCAAATAGCTATCCTTCAATTAGTCGAAGGACTGTTATGTAAAAGAGGGAATTACAGTTATTCCGTGGGCTTCTCTGAGAAAGAACCAGAAGCCAAGGGTGAGGGGTGACAGGAGACAATTTTTCCGACTTTCAGACACTTAGCAGCACAGCAGGGGATCCCTGCACAGTGCACGCTCTTCTGGAGGACTCAGAGCAGAGCCTGCACCTGGAGCGATGGGGGAGCTATTTCCGAACAACTGGGCTGGGAAAAGGGTGAGGCACTTGCCTCAAGCACAAAATTGAAGGGAGAGCCAGAAAAACTCAGTGTTCAAGATAAATAACATCTTCATGTTACACTTTAAGAGATCAAACTCAATGGTGAACAAAATATCAAAACTTGATCTAAAAACAGAATCAGTTTTACTGACTTTCCTTTTGCCTCGGGCAGGACAGTGCACTGCTGCAGAGGGACGGGGAGGTAGATGAGGCCACATTAGACTCGACCAGGCGTGGAAAGACTGGGGGGGGTTTGCTCCAGGTGGGTGAAGACTGCACGCTCTGTCCTTCTCTTGAGGAGCTGAAGTTCCAAAGAGTGTTCCCCAGAATTACCTAAACTTATTTGGCCATGGGGCTTTTAAGGTTTTATTTGTAGTTGTCATTGCATGAAAGCTGTGGTGGCCTGCAGAACAGGTTCTGTGCAACGTCCACTGGGAGACACTGGATGGCATTCATTCATTCATTCGTCCGCCTATTTCCCCATTTATCAAACAAGTAATGAGCATCTATTTGGGGACAGAAAGTGTACATGTATTGAGAAGAGGCCCAGGTCATGCCCTAATAAGTTTCCAGCCCATGATGACCACAGACACATAGATGGTGTATGCTGTGGGAAAGGACCCCGAGGTGCTCCCTGGGGAGAGCGGAAAGCGCTGACTCTAGAGCACTGGGGACACCCGGGGATATCCAGGATGAGTGTGTGGGCAGGGAGCGGGCATTCAGGGAGAGGAGACACGTGCAGAGTTGGAGGTAGGAAGCAGGATCATGTGTTTAGGAAATACCAGTGGCCTCTGTTGATGGAGCACAAAGGGACGAAGTGGTAGGGAGCAAAACATGGAGGCGTGGAGGGCCAGGTTAAGGAAGGTGGCCACGGGCAGCTGTTGTCTTGAACTAATTCACACTGTGGATGATTTCTGCATCTTGCTGGGTTGTACACTTTGGGTTTGGGGCCTTATGCACATCCCACTTAACCAAACTTCCTTCTGACAGGATGGGGGTGCTCATCCCTGCGTACTTGCTTGAATGAGGAGACATTTCTAAAGAACCTCTGTGGGCGTAGGACAACATTTGTTTCATAATATGCTGTTGATTTTACACCCCACCAGTGGCATGCTTATCCCCCTCACTCGTCTCTTCCACCAGGTGCGCGAGGACTCGCCCGCTGTGCTGTACTCTTGCCCCAGCCCCCGTGGAATCATCTCTCCCCAGAGCACCGTTCACATCCCCCTGACCTTGGAGACCCAGGTCCCTGGGAAACACATGTCCCCACTCTACATCTCAATCTTCGGGAGCCAGGACCCCCCTGTGGTGAGAGCCAGTTTTTAGAATTGCAGTTAAAATTGCTGTACTTTTTACCAAACTTCCAAGCCTCTGCTTTTAAGGCATATGTCATATTTGCATATTCTCCAATTGTTTGTAGTTCGAGAGTTCTGCATTTTCACTCCTTACTGGTAACAAACTAGCAATACATTACTTCAGGAATCTATTTGCGGATAACTCCGAAAGTAGTGGTGTTTTGTAGCGCTTGTTCTTAAACTCCTTTCCGGAGTTTTTCACGTGCTGAGACATGCCAGGCCCTTTTCCGGGCCTATTAAGTCCAGCTCTCAGAGGGGAGAGCACACGTGGGTTCAACACCCTCCTCAGCTGCTCCTGTGCGAGGCTTGGTTTGGGCATCGCCTGCTCGCCGCGCGTGGGCTCTGAGTTCAGTCTCACTCGCAGCTCGGCAGATCTCTTCCTGTGTACTGACCGGACTCCTTGCCCAAAGTGAGCTGCCTTCACTGTTAAGATAAATAGCCTCTTTCGAGCTGTGGGAAGAGGGAGGCCTGGAAAACTCTGTGAATCAAATGATAAATCTTAAACCTGAAAGGAAGTTGCCCAGCAGGCTATGAACCCCTAGACGTTTGGTTTACTTGAGTGCTGGGTGACACCAGCGTACATTTGTTCAAACAGGTTCTGATTGCTTAGCTAGTAGGATAAACTAGGATTTTGCTTCTATCTCTTCTGTGTAAGATGCCATAGATGAGCCACCTGACTTACACAGCAGCATCACGAGGTGCCGCTGCTCCCCTTCCCCTGCCTGCCTGCACTGGGCCCACTGTGCACCAATGCAGCTCACAAGAGGGTCATTTGCTGAGCCACCAGCATTTTATAAAAGGAAAAGACTCCTTTCCCGGCTGAGGGCACGGGGTGAGGGGACCAGAATAAAGTGGATTGCAGCCCTGCACAGCTGTGTGCAGTAGACGGCCCTAGAAAAGCAACACAAGGGGGCTCAGTGCAGCCCCTTCCGATTCTTAGCTGCCAGTTCTTAGGCCCTGCAAAGTGTCCTTGAGGTAGGCTGCTGGGCGGTGTAGAGAGGACCATTGCTGTGGTTTCCTCTCGGCGCATGGTTCTGGGCTGACCCAGGGAAGCAGATCACCCTGGAGGAACTTCAGACTGGATTCAGAGGTCTGAGCAGTGTGGCACTCTTTGTCCCTCTGACCCCGGAGTACCAAGGGGGAGGGATGTCAATTCTATTAAAAGCATTGTTTCATGCCACTTCTTTTTATTAGAGAGGTGGCTGTTTCAATCGATTGTAAAGGCCAGCCATTTTCAGCTATTTCCATGTTCTCTCGCTGGGAACACAGGTGTGTCACATAAGGAGCATTGGTGAAGGCCCAGTTATCCACATACATCCCGTTCAAGTTGATTTTGGCAAAATCTACGTCTTAAAGGAGTCCTCCAGGATTCTCAACCTCTCCAACCAGTCCTTCATCCCTGGATTGTTTAAGGCACACATGGTGAGTAGATTGTGGGCCGTCATGTGATTGAAGTACGGTTTTGCCCAAGTCTTACAGGCGGTGGCCCTGTCTTTGCGATGCCCCTTTGAAAATGATCGCCAGAAGCAGAGATTTACATGGTTGAACTGCATTAAACTGTGTTATTCTCATCCTCAATCCCTCCTTATTATAATCGTTTTGTTGACGAAGCAACACTATGTATATGCATGTAGTTTGGTAAATAAGCAAATATAGTTACTGTAATCTCAGTTCAGGGAGATGCTCCAGAGATTTCCCACTGAGCTGTACCTAAGCCCAGCCCATATCTCAAGAAAACACCTTTTAAATGTCTTTTGAACAGAGATAACATGTTCTTTTTTGCAGAATTTAGGACTTTCTAATGCAGTGATTGATTGATTTTGGAAGATATTTTCTAAATTTAAATATAAAATTTAAAATAGTTAGCCCTTCTATCCACAAATTATTGACATTTGAATGAATGCTAACATTTGGTTTTATCATTTGTCAGTTATTTCTTTTTTTTTTTAAAAGATTTTATTTATTTATTTTTAGAGAGGGAAGGGAGAGAGAGAGAGAGAGAGAGAGAGAGAGAGAGAGAGAGAAACATCAATGTGCGGTTGCTGGGGGTTATGGCCTGCAACCCAGGCATGTACCCTGGCTGGGAATTGAACCTGGGACACTTTGGTTCCCAGCCCGCGCTCAATCCACTGAGCTACGCCAGCCAGGGCATGTCAGTTATTTCTGAAAAATCAAAATTATTAATTTTATAAAAGTCACTATCAGAATGAATAGAATTTTAGTTTTCTGCTAACTTCAATCACAGCTCCTCAGAGTCATTGGTCCCAATTAGCAGCCATTTACTATTATCATTATTCATTTTTATCATCATTTGTCTTTACTCCTTGTAAAGGCAGCCAACTCCCATATAGTCACTGCTCTTTTTAGCATGAGGTTCAGATATTGTGTAAAGAATAAAGTCTAAAGAGAAATTCTACAGAAAAGATGCCTTTGCTAGTCTTTATCCAATCAATCGATGTGTTTGGTGGAAGGCGTGGGAGGTGATGGGTTTGGTGAATTGCTTAGGACATGCTGCTTCCAGTCCAGTTTTGTATGTGCAGTGTTTACAGTAGGGGAGGGAGCGAAAGAGTCAGCTGAATAGTTTAGGGCAATGAGAGGTGGGCACTGGCGGGTCCTTCTGTTATCGCAGAGGAAGGAGGGGCAGAGACCCCAGAGTGCTTAGGAACAAATACCGTAACTATTTCCTTTCTCACGCCTCCCCTTTCCTTCTCAGATATCTCCAGATTTCACTGTTGATGGCAATTTTTGGTACATTTCAAGAGCAAAAAGCACATCAAGGATCTATTGGGGTTGTTTGTTTGTTTGTTTTGCTGATATAGTGTACGTATTGAATGACACAACTAGTTGTTAAAATGGGACTTTTCTTTCCCACAAAGGTTTCACGATTCCATCTTTTGATTCTTTAATATCATCTTAAATCAGCCAGCTCCAGTTCCTAGGAGCCGAATGTGTGCTGTGGGTGATCTGCTGTGGAGGGTGTTTCCCCTCAGTCCTCCCTCGGAACACTGGCGCTCACTGAGTTGATTGCCCTGCTGGCATCAAAGTCATTTCAACTGTAATTCTTATAGGTGAAAATTAAACTCCTCATATTTTGACTGGAATTTTTGATGGATTTCCTAGTAAATACTGTATGTGTTAATGTTATAGAAACTGGATTATACTAACTCAGAAGTTAACTACAGTGGGAAGAAATAGAAAACCATTTTATTAAATTTCAACTTAATATACAGTGCTAAAACTGCCAGTTCATTCTTACAGAGTTTACTAAGCATTAGGAAATAGTTTTCATTAATAATCGTCTGTTCCCTAACTAAGCCGACGGCTCAGAACCCAGGTAAATGGTCAAATATTTACTGCACTTAATTTCTAGCTCACTGAGGAGTGAGCAGGGTCAAGGGCATGCTGTTCATTTCTTCCGCTATGACTATGAAGTCAGGTTTGGAATTCCCGTTGACGTCCTGACGGGAGGGGTCATTCTCTCTCCTCTTCTGGCTGCCAGTGGATGTCAGCCCTCCCTCCCTAGATGCGGCACCCGCTGACAGCCGTCTGTCAGCCGCCGGTCCTGCTCAGCCCAGCGCACGGCATGCACGTCCTGGCAAACACTGTCCCTTAGACAGAAACATCTGTTTGTTATCGGCTGGAGGGTCTCAGAGAAGGGAAGCTGGAAGCCCACCGTCACTGTGATGCTGGGGAGATAAATGACACTAAGAGCAATTTTAAATTTCTGAGATATTAATGCTATACAAAAAATGACTTTTTTAAAAAAAAACCTGAAACCTCCTAGTATAATATGTGTGAAGAAGCAGTGAAAATCATATTCTTTTCTGTTCCTTTAAAGCTTAACTGATCCTGAGAGTAGGAAAAAAAAAACTGATTAGTAAAAGAAGAAGCTGCGTGACCTGCAGCAGTAAGGTCTTTGCGTTGGAATGCCTGAAATACCAACCTCCCTAAAGGATTCCAATTGCAGACTTACTTGGATTAAGCTGAAGGACTCAAAACAATAGAGCAAGTCACCTCTGGTTTGGAAGGGTGAAAAATATCAGGATGTGAGAACAGAGCACAAAAGGCCCTTCTGGCAAGACTGTGGGCGCTGCGTGTACACACGGTGCTCCTTCAGGAAGACAGATGTCCTCTCTCTGGTGACAGCAGAAATGAGGGTGGGAATATGGTAGTTTCCCCCCCCAGCGCTGGGACCTGCAGCCCGGCTGGAAGACAGCTGCCTTGTTTGCATGGGCGCCCCTTGCTAGGTAGAGCAAGTGCATTGCTCTGCACTCGGTTGGAAGCATCTGGAATCCTTTTCCTTTCCCTTTGGCTGTAATTCAGCCTCGGGTACTGTTAATTTGAGGACATGTATACAAATGTCAGTGACACCTTGGGATTCGGCTGGCACCGAAACATCGTCACAGCGGCCATCTGCCTCTGTGATCTGCGGGAGGGGCCATTGTAGTTAGATTAAACTTCAGAGTTTTCAGGATCCAGAAAACAGGAATTCCGATGCCTCATTCAAGCGTGGTTCTTTTTAAACTTTCCTTTTCTTGGTCTCTTGCCAAAGCCACGCATAGTGGTATGGCATCAAGGACATCATTGGGCTTTTCCTTCAGACCCTACGCCCCTGGGCTATTTTTTCATTTAAATGGGGATCCCCTGTCTACCTTTACCTGTTTGTATGCCCGACTCCTTCAAACGACAAGAGCCTCTGCTTTGAATTCCCAGCACCTAGCAGCAGGGTTGAAGATGACAGTGCAATGGATGACATTAATTTTGACCCATGTTTATTTAGTTCTGTTTGCAACTTGTATGCAGTATTTCGTTTACTAGGACTCCATGGGAGAAACACTATTATAATGCCCACCTTAACGAGGTAGAAACAGAGGTGCAGACAGGTTAGGTAAATTGCCATAACTACCAAGTGGCAGAGCCCGGTTCCGACGCCTGGCGGTCCGATTTCAGACCCATGAGCTTTTACCCACAGTGCTGCCGTGCTGCCACCTCGGCCCGCTCACTGGTTGTTGAAACGCACTCAGACATGGTGAAAGGACTTGGGCTTTCTGTTCACAGAAGGCCCTTAGAGGTAGACATCTAAAAGAGCAGGTTTTGCCGAAAGCAAGAAATTAGGGAGCATTTCCGAAATGGACAGAAGGACCAAGTATTCTTCATTTTATTCAGAGATGTGTTAAAATGTATATATGCAAATAATCTCCAACATTATTTTCAATCAACCATAATTCCTCCAAGTATATATCTGAAATAATGACAGTTTACTGTCCTGCCTTTTTTGATTCTTTGTGACATGGTATGACAGAACATTCAGTTCTCATATGTAAATGTGTGTAAAAATTCTTCACTACTATAGTTCTTAGAAGAGGTTAAATACAAAAAGTTATGACCTATTTTAACCAAGTTAATAGACCAATCCAAAAGCAGATTGGCAAGCATTTTGCATCCAGTGAGATTTTGGGTGCTTTTGGTGCTGGACCCTGTCCATTTTAAGAGCAAGTGAACTGTAGGCATTCTGGAGAGGTGTGTGTATGTTTGTTGTGTGGCAGCTGGTTTGTGGAAATCTGTAGCTACACTTCACACACTGCACTATCCCCACATACCTTTGAAGCTCACGCTAGAGATCTGGGACTCAGTTCTTCCGTTTCTCCATTGAGGTATTGGTGCTAGGGAACTCTCTAATGGACAAGCAGTAATTCTCCAAGGCTTTTTGATAGATGCTCTCATTAAGATATTACACCCCATAACGTGTGTGAAGAGAGGGTAGAACGAGCTGTTTCTCAGCCTTTAGTGGATAGATTAGCTCTGTCCTCGGAAAGAACCATTACCTCAATGGAAGGAAACAGGTAAGAATAAAGAGATGTTAGTGAAAATGAAAGAAATGGGCCTGAATCAGAGACCAAATGCGGTTGTTTCACCTCTTTGTATTGTTTTTTGTTGTCATGGTTTCTGAGGGTTTTGCAAAGTAGTAGCTTTGTGTATAAAACACACGTTTGCAAGGTAACCTTTGGGTTTTAGCTCATCATTAAGCTTTCATGTTGACTGCAGTTTGTGTCGTACTTTCTGTGTCATCCCCATGCCCTTTAGGTTTGCAGTGTTCTCTTTGTAAAAACTTTTTTGTCTACTGGCGTTTATTTATTCTTCTGAAAAACATATTTTATTGTTTATGCTATTACAGTTGCCCCAATTTTTCCTTTTGCCCCATTCCACCCAGACCCTTCCCCACCCCGCTCTCAGGCGGCTCCTCACAGAGCAGACGACCCAGGCTCTGTCGGCTGAGAGAGCCGCCCCGTGACACGGGCCGGCCAGCAGCCCCTCTGCGAGAACCCAGGTTCTCCGAAATGCAGTTGGCCCTTTCCTTTCCCGGCAGAAATGTCTGACTGCAGAGGTCAGTGTGTAGTTACCATAGTTTAATACAGGAAAAA